CAAATTCATTGACATAGTTATCCCAGCTTTTATGAAAATTTTTAACATAACTACGGATAATTTTCACTATATTTCTATTGACCCGTTCCGCTATATTTGATTGCGGCCGATACGGGACCATTTTTAAATGACGTATGCCCAGTTTTTGGCACATGTCTTCAAATATATTACTTACAAATTGAGGACCATTATCCGATATAACTTTTAGGGGCGCCCCGTATTTTAAAATATATTTATTTAAAATAGAATCAGTAACTAATTTCGCGGAGGCTCGTTTTAAGGGAACAATTTCGGTCCATTTACTAAAATGATCAACCATAACAAGGAGATAGCGACTTTTATTTAACTGACTTTTTGGGAAAGGGCCCAATAAATCGATGCCAATTATTTCATTTGGAAATTCGGATTTAATACTATTTAGAAACCCGGCCGGGCGGAAATTAATATAATTAACTGCTTGACATGTTGGGCAGGACTGGACATACGCCCTTGTTAACTTTTGCAGTTCAGGAAAGTAGACTGCCTCGCGTACGCGTTGGATAGTTTTTCGAATACCAGCATGAGAAGCTAAAGGGCTGTCATGGAGCTCCTGCAGGATATTTAATCTAAGACTAGCTGGGATAACAGGTCGAAATTCGTTGTTGGAATTCGTAGTTTTTGTATAAAATAATAGACCATCTATTAGTTCGTAATGGGCCGCCCTATTTCTTATCGCCACAATATCTTGGTGGCTAAAATTTTCAGGATCCTTCAAATACTCATAAATACTTCCAAACTCAGGATCCTTACCCAGTTCGGTTATTACAGTTTCTCGGGAATTTATTGTACATGCTGTTAGCATTGCCACCTTTACGGTATTACCTTGTTCGTCTATTTTAATTCGTGATAGGGCATCTGCTACGATATTTTCCTTTCCGGGGGTATGCTTGATTACCAGATTATATTCTTGCAGCTTGAGTGCCCATCTTATTAACCTTGGGGATAAATTTTTCCCTGAGTACAATCTAGTTACCGCCGCATGATCAGAGTACACTGTTATCGGCGCCTTTCCAAAATAGACTCGGAACTTTTGCACTGCTAACAGAACTGCAAGTGCCTCTCTCTCGGTCGCGGAATAGTTTCTTTGTGTTTGATTTAAAGTTCGGCTAAAAAAATGCCACGGGCTGCTGATTTTGCGAAAGAAAGTACCGCTCCTACCGCATAATCCGAAGCATCCGCTGAAATTTCTAAATTTTCATCCTTTTCAGGAAATTTCAACACAGGGGCTTGCGTTAATGCTTGTTTTAATTTTTCGAAAGCACTATTGGCTTCGGCCGTCCACGAGAATCTTGCCTTTTTCCTTTTTAATTTTAACAATGGCTCAGCGATAGCCGCAAAATCTTTTATAAAGGACCTATAATATGAACAAAGTCCTAGAAAAGAAGAGAGCTTCTTTGCCGTGTTTGGAGTCGGATACTTTTGTACAGCGATTATTTTTGATTCGTCTGTCTCGATCCCTTTTTGAGATATTTTGTAACCTAAATATTTTAATTCAGGGGCTGCAAATTTGCACTTTTCGACATTAACTTTTAGACCGGCCTCATTTAATAAAGAAAAACACCTGTCTTAAATCCTGTACATGTTGGTCGAGATTATCACTAGTAATAATGATATCGTCTAAATAGATAAATGTGGACTTTCCAAGAACAGGTCTTAACACAATGTCCATGCATCGCTGAAATGTTGCCGGGGCCCCTGAAAGGCCAAACGGCATACGCAAAAATGCATAAGTGCCAGACTTGGTTATAAAAGCAGTCTTAGGCACGTCCTCAGGCCTAACCCCTATTTGAAAATAACCAGTCGTTAAGTCTAAAGTCGTCATAAATTTGGTTGATTTTATGTTCCTTAAAATTTCTTCTATAATCGGTAACGGATATACCGGATATTTAGTTATGGAGTTTAATTTACGGTAATCAATAGCGAATCTCCACCTTTTTGGATGCTCCAAAGGATAGTCATTATTTTTCTTACATAAAACCACCGGGCTAGCATAACTACTTGAGATGGGCGTTATGATCTTTTTACGTAGCATATCGGTAATATGCCATTCTATAATTTTTTCCTTATTCTTATCATACCGGTATGGTTTTGACGAACTGGCAATTGCAATCTCCGGTGTCAATACTATGGTTAGTAACCTGAGTAAATCCTGGAATATCACTAAATAACGAAGCAAATTCACTTACCACTTGTCGGATTCTATCTTGCTCGTCATTAGGCAGGTGGTCAAGATTTAACCTTGGCGGTTCAGCCTTTTCTACACGCAACTGGTTTCATTGTCAGCTTAAGGGACGCTTCATTAAAATCCAGTGTTGCTTGTGCGTCTGAAAGAAAATCTATTCCTAAGATTAATATGTGCTTGCAGATTCTTTACTATAAAAAACATCACCTTTACTTGTTCGTCCTTGATACGGATATACAAAGGTACTTTACCTACGCACTTACATTTTCTCCTTGCGCCGCTAACACTGTCGTATTATCCGCAATTATATATGCGGTATTTGCGAAAATACTTCCTAAAAAAATCTTCTGCCACACAGGAACACTGCGCGCCGGTATCCAGGAGTGCGGTGGCTGGGATATTATTCACCAACACTTCAATCTTCGGAAGAGTCAAATTTTTCACCATTACTGTATTTAACTTGTAGGAAGAGGGGTTTTCGTGGCCTTCGGATTTCCGCACCCTCTCGTCAGCAGAAATCCGTTTTAGTTTAAATTATTTTTCATTTCCGTGCTTTCCTTCTTTTTCCACTGGCCTTGAAACTTTTTTCCTGGATTGCTATTGAACTGTCGACGTTCGCCGGCTGTTTTTGAATGCTCGGGTTTCCTTGCCCACTGATTCGCTTTTTCTCCGTAGCCGTGTGCTTGAGTTTGCCGTGTGCTTAGTCTTGGCGTACCAAATTGGTTTCGCTGTTGATATTGGCGTCTTCTTTCGACGTCCGCCGTTCTTCTACTTTCAAACTGGATTGCTAGCTCAAATAACTTTTCCAGTGTAGTCGGATTTCTTAATTCAATAAAGTCTTGCACTTGGGGCAGTAACCTCGGCAAAATCACTTGAATTATTTCAGGATCCGGACGGTTTCCATACAAGAGCTTGAAAACGTGAATTTTTCTTAAAATAAAGCTCGAGAGGTTTTCGATTCTTTGTTGATATATACTGAAAAGTTCCGTTTCTAATTTCGCACGATCCCTTACAACAGGGAAGGCTTTTAGTAGGGCAGTCTTGAAATTTTCGTAAGTATAGGTGGGACTTCCTGCTTGACCCAAGAGACTTCTGCCTATACATTTGAACCAGTTAAGCGCTTGGCCCCTCAAAGCGCTGGTAGCTAAGGTAACTTTTTGAAACTCGTGCACGGGGTAGAGCATGAAGTGGTCATCCAATTTTTCCAAAAAACTGGTTACCGGTGAGTTTCCATTAAATGTTGCTTCTGGTTTCATCGAAGCGCGCATGGTCTGGACGATGTAACCAAATCCTTCCAGGGCGGCAGCTGGCATTTCTGGATTCTGAGCCGTTTCTGCAGGCAGCACAGGTTCTTCTTGAAACTCGGCCATGGTTATTCTTCTTCGTTGGGCGCCACTATCAGGTTCAATGTTCCTTCTAACCTTCTTCGGGAACATACAAGGACCTGACTCGGAACAGAGAGCTTACTAAAGCTATGTTCACTAATTGTGGGAAGTAGACAGGATACACAAGAAGGGTATACAAAACCCTTTATTTTTCTCTATTATACAATAACTTCCGTACTTCGGAATACAATGACCCCTACTTGGGGTCTAACGTAAAAATATAAAAATAAAAAACTAAACTCTAATTTAACTTTAGAATATAAACGTGGAAGATTGGCCTTATAATAACAGGAAGCCGTATGTAGTACAGAGAACTGTGAACACTACAATACGTTTAAAATTTATCAAGAGGATTAAAACCTCTGGCCTGGAAGGCAAACAGCAACTGCGTAAAACTTCTAAGGTAAGCGGCCTGCTTCGACTCAACTGCTTCCTCTCTCTCGCTTGGCAAAAAGGCCACAACTTAAATACTTGGCGTTCGCCAGACAAACTTTGCATAAAAACCTTCAACGCTTATAATTCTGGCCGGAAGTAGAAAATAAGAAGTGATAGTAAAGATTTAAAAAAAAAGTTAGTAAAACTTAAGATCCTACCATTATATTGGCTTAGTCAAATAATAGTGTAGCAAAAAATTATACACATTTGCATTTTGATATGTATAAATGATTATCCCAGCATGGAAAAGAAATTTACAAATAATAGAAATGCATTAGACGGACTTACTTACAGTTCTTTATGTACATTTTGAATGTTGCTTAGCAGACGTTTATATCTCGAATGACACATTTCTAAAAACAAAGTAAATATCGTGCTGACATTTAAGTAGCCTCGTGAAAATTTTATGTCTTGCTAAAAGTGATATAGTATTTGCAGTCAGGTACTTTTTGCTAGCTTTTAATTTACGGCTTCTCGTCTTTAATTTAATTTAATTAAGTCTTCTCGTGAAACTTTTATGTCTTTCTAAAAATGATATAATTGCATTCGGGTACTTTCTACTAACTTTTAATTTAATTTAATAATCTTTGTATGAAGATCTTTATCCTTTATGTACAAGAATTAACTTTTAGGAAAATAAGCCGAGGTCCTTTAAAAATGCAAGAGAATAAAAGAAAGCCTACTCCTCTTTCCAGGTGAAACAATAAATGTAACTTCTGAAGTAATCAGTAAGTTCTGGAAAGTGTGTTCGGGAAATATATTATGAGCTTGGAAAAATATACTCTGGTCTCTTCATTAAATTTCGCAAAGAGTTTTATTCAGCATCATGCATTTGTTTTAGAACAGGGTGTGGGTAGTTTGAGATCTAAACAAAACTCTAGTTATTATTTTCAGAATAAAGCTCTAAATTCCCCACAGGGATTAATTATTGTGCTCCGTTATGACGCTGTTCGTTGCAGCTTAGGCATACCTCATGATGATGACAAGAAGTGCAGCCGATTCCATAAACAGGGACATAGGCTTCATGTCATGGCACGGATGCTGGATTACAACAGTTATCCTTGGACCTGGTCAGAATGCAGTCGCCATTTCATCACCACATTTTTAGAGTAAGTATTATTTTACCTTTAAAACTTAAATTCTGAATCATGAATCTAATTCATTGTATTTCAGATCTCTGATCCTTTTTAATTGATTAATATGGGAATGTTGTAATGCTTGTGACGTGTATGGACTAATTACAACGGGCCAAAATAAAACTGGCTTGGAAAATAATTTTTTCGAATTTCCTGAAAACGCACTTTCAACAAAGAGATCATTAGAAAATGGGACAGACACAATTCAGAGTGAGAAAATCATGAGTAATTACGTGGCAGCGACTAGTTATTTGAATGAGAAGTGCAGACGTCTTTAGTGAACAGTTGGAAAGAAAGGTGCAGATGCATTTGGTGATCATTTGAATGCAAAACGAAATGGTGCTAACAATAAAACAGTACATGCTTATTTTTAGCTTTATGCGAAACACACTGGAAGAGCCGCAGCAGAAAAATACATACTGCCATCGCTCAGGAAAAGCTGCCACCAGTGTCTCACAGTTTAATAAATCGAGCAGAGCGCTGCATCGACATCAACGGTGGCCATTTTCAGAATTTTTTGTAAAGGACAATTCGATTATTCTTTAACAATGTAAATTTAGAATCAGAATTAGACACATTTTCCGGACCAGTTTTAGTTTGGCCCCTCCTGTATGTGGATAGAAAATAAGTTCTTAAAGCGAAAAATCTCTTCAATTTTATAACTTTCTTATCTCTATATTTATCCCAATATTTATAAACAAAATAAGCTTTTCTATTAGAATAACGCTGATTATTAAGTCATGTAATATATCGCTATCAGAAGGAAACGAGCTGTGATGGCTGAAATAAGATGTTCCGACAATGTCATTGAAACCTTTTCTTTCTATGTCTTTTCAACTTCACGGTACCTTATCTGTATAAATCCGAACATTCGCAAACAAAGAAACTTGCTGATTTTAGTATCGCATTAACACTGGTTATTTGTGGGTGTAAATCTAGAAAAGACGAAAAGTTAAGGAAAAAATTCCATTGAATTCTTTCAAATCTCTCTTTACGTATCTCTCTCATGTATACATTGTTGGCCATTAAAGATACATTACGAGAGACAAGATATGTGTGTACAGCTCAGTTGAGTTTGTGAAACGCGAATAAGTGAGTGTGTTGTGTAACTGACACGGGCAGTAATAGCTGCTGCTGTACGGTCCATTATAGATGTCTGTATCAAGTATGTCAGGCTATGCGCTTTTTGGCATATATGTTCGTATATTGCATTCGCAGGTATGCTTACGGGAGGATAAGTCGTTTTTCAATCAGGAACAGATGTGTTCATTGGGAATAGATCGTATGGAACGCATAATATGTATAGCTAAGTAAGAAATGGACTATGAAGGCCATCCATAAATTGCTGAACATTGCGCTACATTTTAGCATTGCTTTGCATGATATATGGCAATTTTACATATAGAAAATATAAAGGAAAGTCTACACGTATCACTTTTATCACTGAATGAACCATCTTACTTGTAGACTAGACACGTTATGCCTTCTTAAACAAAATGAACATGGCCAGTCGATAAGAAGCGACTTAAATGCAACCTACCCCCAAATTAGTCAATTCATCAAATTTACAGTTAAAAGTTAAAAGAAGATCAGTTAAGAATTTCTATAGCATCTTTTAAAAATTATAGGCTATGAATTGACATCAGAAAGTATATTACCAGTCGTACGTTATCGTATTTTAATCGTATAAGCCTGGGCAAGGTCGTCCTAGAGCCCCGACGGCCAAAGAAGATCACTATTTGTTCATTTTAGCGAGGCGTAACAGAGGGACTACAGCTTCTCAGCTCTCTCGGGACTTGTATGCAGCCAAAAGAAACCCGTGTAATAAGGGTGACCGTTTCCAAAAGACTGAATGAGGGAGGGTTGTTTGCCAGAAGATCGGCTGTTTGCGTCCCGCTCACGTCTATGGACAGGAAAGTCCGATTAGCATGGTGCAGGCAGCATAGGGATTGGAGTACGGAGCAATGGGCAACCGTTCTGTTCACCAATGAGTCCAGTTTTAGCCTAAACACCGATTCTCGCCGTACTTTCATATGGAGAGAGCCAGTGATCCGCTACCTACCGTCCAATGTCCGTGAAATAAACAATTATGGCGGTGGCGGTGTAATGGTCTGAACAGGCATCGTACTGGATGGCTGCACACCTCTCCACGTCTTTGACAGCACTCTGACTGGTATGAGGTATAGAGATGAGGTCTTGGAGACCTATGTTCGCCTTTTCCGGGGTGCAGTGGGCCTCGAGTTCATCTTACAGGACGGTAACGCTAGGCAATACAGAACTTTTCTGGTTGACGAATTTCTCGAGAGTGAGTATATTCGCCGGATACATTGGCCAGACCTCAACCCTATAGAAAGCATGTCTGGGACGCTCTGGGGAGGGCTATTACAACTCTCAACCCCCTCTTAGAACCATCCAGGAAGAACTGAAAACAGCGTTGCTGAATGAGTGGTACCAATTGCCACAGGCACTGATAAACTGCCTTATTTCCAGTATGCCATCACGCTGCGAGGCCTGTATGGCTGTAAGAGAGTGCCATACTCCCTATTAACCCGTTTCTTTTGGGCCTTCTGCCACCGCTGTTTCAGACCTTCAGACTCCCATGAGTGTTACACACTCATGAGTGTTACACGAACATGTGTGTCTATTATACTGTTGAATGTTTATTTTGTTTGTATTATATCAACCTATGTTCACACCAAATTTTATTAAAATCTGTCCAGTAGTTCTGGAGATCGTAGACCAAATATGAAAATTCTCTTAATTTATTTCACCAGTGTACTTACAGCATGATTTCGAAATGTAATCTTGACGAGGATGAAAGAGCATTTAAGACAGCAATGATTACCACCAGACAGAAAAGTGATTCTTTTGTTAGATAACTCCCGTCTCTCCAGCTGAAGACATAAATACAGAAATTATCTGTGTTATATTTCTGTTGCCCAACATAAGAAGTCTAACCAATAGACCAACGAGGTATTCAGAGTACAAAAGATGAACTACCGATCCCTTTTCATGCGATATTTGAAGATAGTGTCCTTAATTTCCGAAATAAATTTCATTGAAAGACGCCATATTTACGTTGTCTCATACATAGAAAGATGTAAAGAATATTACATTCTGTCGCTGTTGGAGTAAGTTGTGACCAGTGATAGTGTTCGTAGATAAGTGACGAAGATGCTGTTACTTTAAAAACATATCCGACCTCTTGTATTTAGTTACATGTTTAGAGACAGTTAATGCTAATGAAAAGGAAGTGAAGGCTTAAATGAATGCAGGCACTTCTGTTCCCGTCGCAATTTCTCAAGATGGCAGGTACAGGTAGAAGCTAAGCCAGCACCTGCATAGTACCACAGGTAATTGAGGTATTGCTGAATCTAGCTAACTGTTAAACTTTCCACCCCAATTTCGAGGGGGGAACAGTCCGGGGGTGGTCCGAGATTCTCCCACCTCTCCTTTTTTACCATTAACCTCTTGAGAGGACTTTCTGAGATAACTGACGTCTGGTATAAATAATGTACACAAATCATACTGAGAAAAGACTGTCTTTGAAAAGTTCAACAATTGATGCTTCCAAGAGTCTAAATGTATGAACAAATGTCCTTTCTAAGGCGGAAGGTATAATAAGCAAGTTTCTGGAACTTCCGTCCATCAGCATTGCGTAGAAAAATGAAATTATTGGAACATTAAAGTAAAAAAATAAATAAATAAATATATTTTAGAAATATATGGAGATGAATAAGCGTTAGATATGACAAACGTCCAGTCCGAGTCTTAGGATATGTATAAGAACGTCTCTGATTTTGGCCCTAAGGTGTCTGTTCTTCATTGCGTATTTCTTAAATTCTCAAAATGACAGCGAAATAATCAAACATGCGCTGGTGGAGATTGGTAATTTAAATATGGCAAAGTACAAGCGTTGTTTGCCTAATGGCAGCGATGCCTGATTGGCGTATCTAGAATTATGACTGCTCAGGGCGGTCCTTGAATTTGCCGCCTCTCTTAATATACAAATAAACAACTATAAAAATTGGCAGTACGATATGTAGGGAATTAAAAAATTTGAATTCTATGTTAATTTTTGAACAAAAATATTACTTCCAACATTTTAGAATTATTTTGTTGTTGTTGTTGCTGTGTGTTGTTTATTGTTGCTGTTGTTTGCAAAATTATCAGTGACATTGTAGAGGTAATAGCATCTAGTTGATTACTTTTGCTGTTAGGAGAAAATTTTTTAAATGCCAAATATGCATTTGTAATTAATAAATAACTTTTCAGTGATTTTTTATTCAGGAAACGCTTCTCACAACTAGTAACAGCTATTGAGAAGAAAGGTCGCACAAGTATTACAATATTTGGAATTTTGTTTTAGAGATTGTATTTTAGAATAAACTGTAAAAATTCAGAAGGTCTGCTCTTACACGTTGCTGTTTCGATTTCACTAGCAATAACAGAAAACTCTGAAATATTTCTTCCTTAATGAGGAATTCTTCCTTATTAATGTTATCGTGATTATAATTTAGCTGATATTCATAATTTTCTTTTAAAAGTTTCGACGGATTATAAAAGTATAACAGGTTTATCTAGCTGTTGAAGTTTCATGGAGATTTCTTTCAATTCTTTATTTACAGGAAAAGATTTTTTTCTTCTTAATTTAATTCCGTAGGGCAATTTAGAATCTCATAATTCTTCACCTGCCTTGACAATCCATGAAACTAACTACTGTTAAATAATATTTCATGCAAAAATGCCACCCTTAGGGCGTAGGGCTGACCACTCCCACTATCTACGCCACTGCAATACCTTCGTGGAGGACTTTCTATGGAAAACTAGCTTCATTCACGTTGCATACGGAGTAAACCACGAAAATGAATAATGCAATCAGCTCATTAGCCTGGGATCCCAGTCTCAACAACTCGATCATTGGTAAAGCACCGAAAAAGACGAAATATGATGAGGAGGAGGAGACAAAACCGGCACGCAGAGCAATAAGTTACTTGGAAGGAAGCTGAGGAAGGGTCGCTGGTTTCAATCTCGTCCAAAAAGTATCATTGAGCATTTATGAAGGTTATCAATATAAATGAATAATATTTTGCACCTAATAAACATTTGCCTTTCATTTTTTTACATCTTTTCATCATCATTTCGAATAACTAGTTCCTTCCTTGTTAACGGTGAATTTATGGGATTGTTGATTGATTAAATAGACTTCGAATTCAAGTAGCAAAATGTACAAACATAACAAACAACATCCGCTGTCAGATTCTGGCTGTATTTATTTATAATGAAGTATAATTTTTGATATGAATCTGCTTTCCTTCAGGTAAGAAAATATTTAGGAAAACTAAAAGAAGGAGACTAAAAGTTTTAAGTTATTAGCATAAATAAATTAAGGATAAAATGGACTTATCATAGTGAGCTAAATGCTAAAGCTGTATTACGTTGTAGAGACATTAGGTATTTTTTTGGAAGCAGCAAGATGAAAAATTAGAAACGCTTTTGCCGGGAATCGAACCACGGACCTCTGAAATACCGGCTCAGTGTGCTGACCACTACACCACGAAGGCACGCTAGGAAGGCTGGAGAAATATCTTACATAATCCCCCTTTTAAAAGGCAACTGGGGTTGTTAGGGGACCCAATCGCCAAATCCTGGGTGTGGAGAGTCATCATCCACAACCCTTTTAGTTTGGGCGCCACTGTAGAGACATTAGGATTATTTGCAGGCCAGAGAGATGAAAAATTAGCAACCGCCTTCGCCAGGAATCGAACCACGGACGGTACGCTAGGAAGGCGGGAGAAATACCTTATAACGTTCTTAAATTATAAACGAAATTATTCTTTCTTGAATAAATGAGTGGTATGAATGTTTCAATCGTAAGCGTTTTTTCTCTTTGAATAAAGAGAAAGGAATAAGCAAAGCTTTTTCTGTAATAAAATCCTAGAAATTTATTTTTAGCTGTCATGAAGCTTATTTTGAAAACTTTAAAAAATGTTATGTTTTCTTTTGTATACTACCAAATGAAAATTAATGATTAAACACATCATTTTAAAAACCGAAAATGCATCACAGATTTATGCATAATTTTTGCTTTACAGTAATGTAAAATGTATAAGGCAAACCTGACCTGGAACATAGACTGGCATCAGTTAAATATCGATGTATTTTCGTGTTGTTTTAGTACAGTACAACTACTGATTTGACATAAATTTCGGCAATATTACTTCAATAAGGAGGAAAATATTTTTAGTAAATTGCGGGTTCATAAGCATATACGTATCTATAAACAGTGTAGTTGTATTTTTAAAAGCGCCCACAGCTGCTTTCTCTTATGATAGCGTCATGATCCTGCAGACTAGATCCAGAAACAATGATTCTATGTTTTTGAATGAAGCAAGATTTGCTTAAAAGTCAGGGTGATGACATATTGGTCTGGGAAAAGGCTGTAGGTTGTTTCAAGTAAGGGAACATGTCGAACATAAATCTTTTCTCAATGAATGTGAGCATGGATTTTCTTCCGTGCCTGTACAGACTTTTAAGTTTTTTCTGTGACTAATGTAATTGTTGTGGAATGCCAGAAGAGATCCTGCGCTACTTCATAACAATGTGTCTGATTCTAGGGATAAGAAAATTTAGAGTTCTTCCTTCCTTGTTTAAAAAGGTTTGTCTGTAATAAAGAAAGATTTAGTAAAATTGGTCCACTGTGAATGAGTACAGTAACAGAAGCCAAACATCGCTTAAATATAAATATTGGAACATTACGTTTTTCTGTCTTTTGCGCTTAATGTTGACATGAACATTTCTCGTTCAGATAACCCACTGCTTGTTGTGTATGTTAATAACTACTTACTATGCTAAAGCATGCAGTGTCTTGTACCATAAAATTAGTGTTACCAGACGTCTGGGATTACTCCTGATAGTCCTGATTTATAACTGCGTCCGGGGTTTTATTTAAAATTTACAAAATGTCTGGAATTTTTAAATGAGACTGTTTGTACGTCTTGTTAATCAGTTTCGCTTCGAAATGCATCAGTTCGAGTTCAAAGGATTTTGTTAAACTGCGAATAAGATTTGGTCTTCAGAAAGAAATCTGTTGCAGGTGTCAGTACTAAACGAATATACAGTTGAATTCAAATATTCATGTCGTGACTAAATATATAAAATCCATCAAAGATTTCTAAGGAAAATATTGCTAATAAAAAAATATGGAAGAGTGTAAGAAAAACAAGAATCTCAATCATTCACATCATATTCAGATTTGAAATTCTGTAAAAAAGTATGCAGTCTACTTTTCAATACCTTGATTATTGTTTTCAATACCTTGATTATTGTATTATGAATGTCGCATAATTTCCTTTAATTCCTTAATACGAACTTTTATCTGTAATACAGACTTGTATGACGTACATCTAATAGGCTTTCTAATCACTGGAAATAATTCTTCATAAAGGATCCTGGGCATGGGCAACTGAAAAAATTTCAGGGTAGAAGTATAGACAAATAATTATATATATACATTTTTATATAATTATTTAATTGAGAGTTCTCAAGAAGATTGTAAAATACAATTTTGCATCAAACGCATATGTATACTTTACATGCATCCAATATGAGATATATTTGTTTCTCTATTCAATCGAGGTCACATGTGCCGCTTTCCCATCCGCTAATGCACACGATTCGAGATTCTTGTTCTCAAAATATGGTAGCTCTATATAAAAGCATTCATTTGTGAAGACCTTATTAAAAGGTATATGGTTCGCATTTTCAGTTTATTTATGCACAACTACAAAATCTAATTATTTTTTCACAGAATTTGATTCGAAAAGAATTAATAGCGAGGATTGTTTTCAACACTTGGAATAGATACCCTATACTTTTAATCTGCATTATTATTTAAATCTAAAATTAAAAAATATAGCTTTGCTAAGCAAGAAATGTAAAATGATGCGTTCTGGAGGAGTATATTAACACTTACGTGGACATGTTTTTGTCGAAAGCTCAAGTTTTCCCCATTAAATTCAATAATAGTTTTAAATTTATACTGTAAAACGTTGTACGTTGCTTTTTTATTAAGCTGAGTTTGATAAGTAGCTGAAAGGGTAAGTTTTCACTGATGAATGCTTTTGAAACCGCATTGTAAATATTCTGGAAAGAAGCACGATTAGAGTACCAAGTTGTATGGGTTACAGTCGAAAACAACGCAAGGCGAAAACGTTGTGGTGCAAAACATCGTGGGAGAAAAGAAAGCAAAGAAAAAACATCGTTATCGAAAATAAAGCGGTTCAAAAACCTCGCAGTTTAAAAACATCGTCGTCGAAAATATCGTGATAAAAAATAAAGTACCTACAAATCATCGCACATTTACGTTTTTGAAATCCCATACAGACATATTATGTAATTAACTTTCGTCATAACTAACAAATCGACATCCAAAAAATTTATTGCACGCTATACATCAAAATGTTAACAACACTTTAAGAATAAACGGAAACAAAACAATATTTAATTTTCACTAAAACTAACAAATGTGAAAGAAAATAATTTGATCATTAACTAAGGAATTTTTATAGAGGTAACCTCATGCAGTTCTTATCTTCCTTTATCCAAGCATTTTTAGACTATATTTTTCATAAAAAAATATTTGTAAAACTTTATTAAAAACGGTTAATTTATTAATGACCTTTGTTAATTAACTATGTGAATTTAAAATTTTATTAAGTTCTATAAATTGCATTAATTTGCAATTTTTAAGTGCTGAAGTTTGCTTTTTATTTTTTCAGCAAAAATTTGTTATTTCGTTCAAAAATATGAAATATAGAAGTAAAAGAGTCCATCTTTCCTTATTGCACTCTCAAATTATTATACGAACAAGCATTTACAACTTTTAAAACCTGAAAACGCATGTCTGCGATGTTACCGTCATGCAATGATTTTTAAGTACATTAATTTTTGCCACGATATTTTCGACGATGATTTTTTTAAACTGCGAAGTTTTTGAACCGCTTTATTTTCGACCACGATATTTTGTATCACGATGTTTTAGAACTGAGATGTTTTCTCTTGCTTTCTTTTCCCCCACGATGTTTTGTACTAATACGACGTTTTCGCCTTGCGTTGTTTTCTCCCGCGACGTTTTCGTCCACGATGTTTTCGACGGACACTGTTATATATAGCCACAAAATGTTTATTGAAATAAAAACGAATATTTAATCTGCTTAGCTGCGAAGTTTCTGTTTATTATGAATCAATATCTATGCTGTCAACATTTTTATATTATATATGTATTATACTTTGTTTTTTATAGAAATTAAGTAAATACTAGATTTTTGCTTAAATTTAGTTCTGATTTTAATTTACTTTTAGCGCTGGTTACGGACAATGTTTACTAGATAAATCCAGGAAAGATCTATTGAAAAGTTTTGAACATGTTGGCACGCCGCCTGGGGAGCTGTATGACATGGATTATCAGTGTGAACTTGTGTTTGGCCAAGGTTCCAGAATATGTCCTTACATGCCTGTCTGTAAAAGACTGTGGTGCACTATGGAAGATATATCTCAAGGAGGCTGCAGAACCCAACATATGCCTTGGGCGGATGGAACTAGATGTGGACTAGACAAGGTAACAAAATTTTAAATACGGATTTTATTGATTTTATTACTGATATTCATTAAAGAGGGTGAGGCTAAATATCATAAATTAAAATTTGTTTCAAAAGCTCTGAAGCAAAAGTGTAGATAGCTTGTTTTGTTGAGATTACGGCAAACCTCACAAGGCTATATGCCTAAGAGGAGGGATGCCTTTGTGGAGGAAAAAAGGGGTGTATATAAGGTATTTCTCCCGCCTTCATAGCATGCCTTCGTAGTGTAGTAGTCAGCAAACTCGGCACATATTCGAGAAATCCGAGGTTCAAGTCCCGGTGAGGGTATTGTACATTTTTCATGACTCCTGCTTCAAAAATACTTAATGTCTCTACAAGGTTAATGAGATTTAATCGGAATTCCTAAAAGGAAATCGTGAATTAAAATGATTGCTGCTCACTCTGTGTCCTAGATGGATATGATAAGCCATAGGAAGAAACAGAGGTAAAAATAATAGCACAGATGAAGTTCAATAAATTGTTTTCATTTATTTAAATGCGCAATATTGCGTTTTCGAAAATTAACAAAGCCAATGAAAGGTTAATGTTTTTACAATTACGAGGTCAGTAAATAAAGTAATGAAGCATTTTCGGAAAGCACTTCTATTTGCATTTATATTAGAAATACACTCGATCTTCTTCAAAGTAGCGCCCTTGAGAAATCACATATCACCTCAGATGTTGTTCCCACTCTACATAGCAGTGTTGGTATTCCAAAGTTGAAATGGGCTTCAGCGGATCTTTTATGGCCTCTTTTAATACTTTTTGTGATTCCAAAAGGATGTTTCTTCAAAAGCGGTTTCCTTCTGGAGAAAACGTCAGAGGGACTAAGATGAAGCGAATACCGGCTGAGGGACAACGGTACGCATTTTCGAGCTAAAAAAGCTATTACGGAAAGAGTCATGTGACGGGGCTTATTGTCATGACCAGTGCACTATTTAAGTATAAGCTACATAAGCTATAGCATAAGGCCCCCCAAAAATTTAAAATGTTGTATGAATATAATATTAAAATATAGTATAACAGAGCCCAGTATCTCAAATAGCTTAGGGCCTCATTAAGTCTAAATCCGACCCTGGTCATGGTGGCAAAGCATCTAAAACACTTTGATTTCCAGATGCATGTGAACCATACATTTTCACACTCTTTCGAGAACCTGAACTGATGATTAACAGTCTCTTCAAAAAATACGAAATATTTCTGGAAGATCCCTCATCAGATCGTTTTTTTTTGGGGGGGGGCTTTCCGGAAGCAAGAATAGTCTTTGGTTGATTCTTCGCCTTCTCAGAAAGCTTTAAGCTGCCAAAAATATCTAAAAACTTCCTTTTTAGGCAGGCAAAATCAAAGTTTCCATAAGCCCGCTGAATTTTTTATCAAAGTTATGATCGCGTTGTGTTCCAATTTGAAACAAAACTTGATGCTTCATCGATGCTCAAATCTCATATCACTCATTTTCGTGATGCACAAAAGAAAATATGGAAAAAAAACCTCACTTTATTATAAAACACATTAACACGAATGATGTGTGATCTGAAACTGTACGATAATTTGACTTTAGTGCCCCGTTAAGCGCAATCGTTCTCATCCGCCGTGTAGGGCACTACGTGACCGATTTCATTATTTTATTTACAGATCTCGTAGTTGATGTTTATGTAGAGAGCGCAAAGAAATATAATTTGGACTTTTCTATTATTTTGTATATCAGTATATTTATTATTTTAAACTCGTTTAATAATCTGAAATTAAATTATGTATATTGTTTAATTTCATTGATATGTTTCTCTCCATTTAGTCTTGCTTGCATGGTGAATGTGTTCAAGAGCCTGCATACTTTTCTCCTCCTCAACATGGCCAGTGGGGAGAATGGCAGAGTTATGGACCCTGTTCAAGATCCTGTGGTGGTGGGATAGCACGTTCCATTCGTGAATGCGACAGTCCTAGGTAATTTGTTTTCTTCTCGATACCAGAATGACACCTTTGTAAACAAACATATTGTATTATATTTAAAATCTTTCTTTCATTTTAATCGTTGTTAGCTATTACACACATAATGTAGTATAAACGCGCACTATTATACATATATATATAAGATAAAAATATATGAATCAGAATTATAACATAACTATAAACATTAATTCTTCCTCTTTATTCTAAATCGTAATAACTTCTCTGCATTGCGTCATTTCTAGATCACTCTATGGCCCGCGCAATTCTGATGACGTAATAATTGGGAACTGAAACTGCCTTTGTAAACGAAAACTTTTCTCTTCGCCGTGTTTCCATCCTTCATAACTACGCACTTCAGCTTTTGCTCTCTACTGTGCTAAGATGTAATTTCGCTGGCTTGCTTTCTGTCTCAACAATATCAAAAATGTAAATCTTCTGTGGAAAGGCACGACTAGAGTGTCAAGTGATTGTGGCCACAAATATCGGTTGCAAATAAAAATGGAATTAAAACTGCCTCGACTGCCAAGTTCTTTAGATATTACCAAGTTAGCATTACTAACATACTACGCAATCAAAATCTTCTTCAATATGGGTCTAATTACGCATCTACAGTGTTCCGTCTTTGATTTGCTCTTATTATGTCATATATATATATATATATAATGTTGATTTAGATGTTGATGTCGACGCAGGTGTTAATGGTAACACCCGACTCATGAAAAGAACTAGATGCAGCTATGGAAGCTGAAATATTTTTTATTGCTGATATCTTATTTTTCATTTAAGCACAGCTAATTTGAAGCAAAACCCACACTTCTACAAGGTAACCGAAACCGTTCTAAGCATTCTTGATCATTAGAGACAGACAAACATGCAGGGCATAGTACCCAGCGTTAGGTCTCTGAGTAATCTCCCTCTGCATCCAACATAATTTGGCAACTTGTGCTCTGATGATAAAACTTGGGGTTCTGCATTATTGTCGAAGGATTTCCCGTGGATTTGGTTGTCCAAAGAAGGGAACAAGTGATAATTTATGAGCGATAGGACCGGCGAGCATAGCAATGGGAGTTTGTCTGGCGAAAGAAAAAAAAGATAATTCAAACTTTTATCAATGGATAGCGTTGTACTGGTCACAATATGCTAATTAAAAGACATGGCATGCTCACCATATGTTAGACTTAATGAAAACACAGAGTACTGGCCCTGAAGAAGTTCGGGGCATTAATGGACATAAGACGCGGCATTAATGGACATAAGACGCGGCATTAATGGACATAAGACTCGATGTCCGTCAGGGGTCTTCGAAAGATCGTTCAGAGGGAGCAAAGCAATTGTTCCGACGTCAGTGGAAGACGTGGCTATAGCTTTCTAAGAACAGACGAGAAGTGGTATGAGAATGCGCAGTGCAATGGAAATTGCTTGATCTTTAGACGTGTCTATCAGCACGGTTCGTAAAATTTTACAAAACATATTGCAATGATATCTGTTCAAAAATCACGTATGTTCTGGAGTTGCTTCCTACTGATCCACCAATAAGACAAACTTTTGCCCTATAACTTCCTGCTCGAACAGAAGTAGACAATCTATGGCTGTGGAGCATTTTGTGGACTGGTGAATCCATACCATCTCCAAGGTTCTGTCAATCGTCAAAATTGAAGAACATTGCAGACACTAGACCAGAGCCATGTTTTATGCCCATTAATGTCCCGAACATCGTCATGTCGTTGAAGCTCGGTCACCATTCTTGTATATAAGCGCTTCACAAGTAGAGCCTGATCCTTCATTGACAGAGTCATGACGAGCTTCTCAGTCGTAGATTAACGAAAATTGCGCTTACACTGTGTTTTATCAATATGTGCTGCTTATGTGTCGTCTTTTAATTAACATATTATGACAAATACAGTATATAATATTTATCTATTGATAAAATTTTCAGCTATTTTTTCTCTCTCGTCAGACAAATTTCCTTTGCTACTTGCATATTCAGGTCAAATTTCAGGTCATTCTGACCAGTGGTTTTTTTTTTACAGCCTTTTGAAAGTAGAGCCTTTTGAAACTTTAATTATAACCTCAACTGTATATATAAACACATATAAGATATTTTTCCCTCCTTCCATCATGCCTTCGTGGTGTAACGGTAGCACACTGGGCGCGTATTCGAGAGGTCCAGGTTCGAGCACCGACGGAGGCATTGCTCATTTTCCCCGTCTCCTAATTCAAAAAAAAATTAATGACACTGCAGTGGAGCTCGAACTCAAAAGTGGTACTCAATAAATCGTCCCCACCAGGATTTGGCGATTGGGTCTCTTAATCCCTAGTCGCTCTTTCAAAAGAGAAGTATATCAGTTACAGATGGAGGATAAAATAATACGAACACCTGTGAAATAATGGAAAATCTTTTATTAATAGGTCCCCCCTTTGATTGAAGTACAGATTAAATGCGACGTGGGATAGATGCATAAAGGTCATGGACAATATTTAAAGGAATATCAAGCCATTTCTCCAGACTGAGGGGGGGGCCGGGCGAGATGTTAAATTGCATCGTCATGCTCTTCGAACCATTCTTGAATATACCTAGCAGTGTGGATAGGGGCGTTGTCGTCTTGGAAAAGCGGTCGCTTCCCAGGACAAAGGGACAAAAGGGATGAACATGATCCCATAGAATGCTTAGATAGTGATTGGATGTGATCCTCCCATGCAGAATAAGAAATGGCCCAAGACCGCGCCAAGATAGCGCACCCCATACCATAAAGGCGCCACCCCCATGCTTCACAGTCGGCAAGAGGCAGTCAGGATGAAACGCTTCTTTGGGCATTCTCCAGACATAAACGCGTCCCGTCGTCTGAAATAGTGTAAATGACGATTCATCTGACCATATTACCTGCTGCCACAGCTGTGGGGGCTAGTATTTGTGATCTCTGCACCATTGGTGTCGTTTGAAAGCATTAGTTGCTGTCACCAAGGGTTTACGAATTGCCACTCTGCCATAAATGCTCGCAGCATGAAGTTCCCTTTTGATAGTTTTTGTTGAAACGAGGTCCTGGAGATGACTGTTCATTTCGGATGTTATCTCGGATAACGATTGCTTGTGCTTTCGGGCTACTATGCGCTTCAAGACCTGTCTATCCCTATTAGCCAGCTTTGACTTTAGGCCACTGTTGTGCTTCGAAGACGTCGTCTTACCCTCTTTCGTGTCCTTGCACACCCCACAAGGTTGACTGTTTCCGTAACCGATGCTTCACTTAAACGCGCTCTAACTATTATTCCTCTTTGGAACTCTGACAGATATGACATTTCAACTTCTCACAGACAGTTCGATCGAAGCATGCAACGCAGGTGACTGCTGTTCAGATACTGATACCTTCGTCTTCACGCTCACTAGGTGGCAGACTTCTGTTGCAGGTGGCGCGGCTGTAGTGTAGGTGTAAAATACGTCATATGTTTTCACAGGTGTTCTCATTATTTTGTCCTCCATCTGTATTTTCTATCTCCTTCCAGTATGCCTTCGTGTTAGCGTTCTCAAAAGGTATTCGAGAGGTCCCGGCAAGGGCACTGTACATTTTTCTCGTCTCCTACTTCAAAATAACCTAATGACTTTACACGCATACACAATATGTAAGGCAAAATTAGAATAATTTCATCAGATTCTTAACTCTCTATTTTAATTTGAGTGTTTCTCCTTTCTGTCTTAAAAATAGTAATTGTTTTTAATAAATCGCCTTAAACTGCGTCAACTTAAAATTAATTCCATGTCATGTGTTTCTTTAATAACGCTAATGACGCAGATAATTTTGCAAACTGAAACTTAGACGGGCATTATCAAAGTTTTAACAGCCTCATATCATTCTTTACAAAACTTTAACTCAGAGACGTCGCTGTGTGCTTCTGTTGCTAGCTATCGTGCTACTTCGTCTGTCTTCAAAAATATATTTTAAATTTCTAGTAATTATGTACCAATGTAGTCCTTTGAGAACAGACGCGATTAGTGCTTCATCTTGTAATATATTGGAATGTGCTGATTGGCGCGTAGACTCGCAAATAAGAAGCTTTCAGTCATGACCGAATGTAATTTTTTATTGTACTCATTGACAAACATTTTAAACGCAACACGGGCGAAGTGGTTCAATAAGCGCCTGTTCTAGAATTTTACAGTTTCGATGCTGCGATAAGAAGATTAGGAGCAAGCAGCTACCTAGCTAGACCGAGAAGCATATAGCAAATGCAACGTGTCTAAGATGAAAGTTTGGTAAAGAGAGATTTGCGTCATGATTCCGAAATTTTTCTATTGGCTGCCGAAAGTTTCGATATTTCGCTATTTGAGTTTCAGTTTGCAGAGTTATATGCGTCATTAGCGTTATCTGAGAATCTCACGATATGAGATTAATATTAAAATGAACAGTTTAGAGCGATTTGTTATAAGCATTTACTGTTTTTATGACAGAACGGGGAAGTATCCATATTAAAATGGAGGGTTAAAGATTTAGTGATAAAAAAAAATTATGTAAGGCAAAATTAGTAATAGGATTGCCTTACTTTCTTAGCTTAGAAACTAAACATAAATATCTATTTATAGTTTAGTTTCTAGAAAATATTGTAATAGTAAACCACGTGATTGAATTCTAAAATGCAACAATCGGTTTCAGTTTATCGTTCGTGAATTTATGTTATGGTCAGCGGCAGGCTCTGGTAACGTTTTTTTCTTTAGTAAGAGTACATGTTTATGTTATAGCTATGCTTCTCTTGAATAAAAATAAATGTTGGTATTAAGAAGAATGACTCATTGCTACATAATATCCCTAACCATATGCCCCATAATATATATATATATATATATAGGATGAGCATATAACATCTGCCAATTTAAGTTGGCAACCTTGCCAAAATGCACGTGCTTGTATGTAGCATAACTTCTTCCATGGACAGCCAGGTGTCAGGCAATTATTATACAATGAAATGTTGGCCGGAGCTGTTGAGGATTGCGGCTGTGGAAGCCTTCATTCAAACAAGCGCTGTGTCAAACTTTCCTATGAGTATTGCGGCAAAACAATGAAGATTGCCAGAACTGTGGTGAAGACAGCTGCTGGATACAATTTGGTTCAAACAGGATGGTGGAAAAAAAAAAAAAAAAAAAAAATATCAGTGTACTCGGTAAGGCATTTCTGAATCATCTGATTTACCACTTTGGTGATTTCACTTAGCTTCATATTGCTTCTCGGGTTTGACATGTCCGGACTTCTTTCTTATATGTTACTCGAAAGAAGAAGTCTTTGCACACGGTTTGCGGACAATTGATGACGATGCTATAATTTCATAATACATTTATCAGATTTTTATTTATGTATATAATTTCACTGAAGTCAGCTATTTTACCTCCTTCATGGCATGTTTTGATTTTTATAAAACAGCCGCCATTTTACAGTTCGGCTTTAATTTATGACAGGGAAAAGTACCAAGTACGCATATCCTTTCCATTCTGTATCTTGGAATATGATGACGCAGTGAAAGCCAGCAATTCTCTATTCTTACAGAACGTGATGTTACACGTACGAAAACAATAACATGTACTTTCAGATATTAATAAAAACAGTTCCGGGAAGACTGGCATTTCTTAATGATGTTGTATTGCTTCCTTTAGTTAGGAGATCTGTGGAAATTAGTAGAATTAACTTCTGACGCGGGCAGGCCACTGCTACCGAAACTCGATACAATGCCTTTAAATCACATATGGCGCTATGAAACAACAAATAGTTTGACCAGTGTCGCAAGATGCGTAATTATACCAAAACTATGTCTAACTTCTATACTTCTTCGCTTGTTTAAACATATTCTGTGATATTTGCTGTCGATATATACTAATTGTCGATACTTGTCGAAATATACTAATAAGACAATTCATAAATTTAGTTTTAGAATAAGTAGCTGAGGATCTTAAAATGATCGCTAAATATGTTGTGATGTTAAACACACTTTGTAACGCAACAGCTGTTAAACACACTTTTCATTACATTGGGCAGTTGATGCGAGTCAAGATTTTTATAAGTCCTTCATACATTTTAAATCACTATAACTGTATTAGGAAGAGATATTTCGCAGAAATAAAGTTTGTACTGCAATACGCGACTTAAAGTTTTACCTGACTTCTGGGCAGGGGCTAGGCATTTGTGCACCAGTTGCATTATCTGCAGATTCTAAATTCTACTGCCCGATAGCCCCTAAATTTTGAAACCCAGCGCCTCCCTTAAATTCTAAAACTTTTGTTATCTTTAAATTTTGCTGCTCGGTGCTTCGCTAGATTGTATAAATTTGCAGTTTTTAAACTTTTTTGCTTGGTTTGGGCGCACTGGCTTTGGCGCCGGTCTATCTGACACTACTACTGGATAAAGGATTAAAGAACTGCGAGCGATCATGTGACTCTAAGAAGACGTTGATTCAGGAGAAGGTTTAACGCTTAGGAATGCAGACTCAAATCGGGCGTTAATGCGTTGCAAATTCAGCAGCTTGCTTCGAAGTAGGTCGGGGAAGTAAAAAGCATTGAGAAATTGCTTGCAATTAGAAATATCGTGAATTTACAGCGAAGTGGCCGGTCAAAGATAAGGAAAGACTCAACTGACTAAGTCAGGGACAGTATTGAGATAATAATGCATATAGGTGGTACACGATTAATCATCAGTTTGTAAGAGTGGCGAATTAATATGATTTCGAAAGATCCTAAAAAGCATGGAAAGCGCTCCGTCTAACTCCAAGATCCTTTGAAAAATTAACTCTTGCTCCTCAATATGAGTACTATCGCTGAACCGTATCTTCATTTGCCCTTGACCGGTCATTTCGCGGTAAATCCACAACATTTCTATCTGTAGAAATTTTGCATTTCACTTCCTTATAAATTTTACTTTCGGGACCTATTTGGATATACGCTGCTGAAATTTCGACGCACCAGCACGCGATTTCAGCTCTGCGTCTTATTCTGAATCGATGCCGTCTTAGAATCACATAAACGTTCGCAATGAATTGATGCCCTCAGCTTGTAACATGTCCAGGTAAACTTTTAAACACAAATTTTATTTCAGCACAAAAACAATTTTATTTCAGCACAAAAACAATTTTATTTCAGCACAAAAACAACTTTATTTCAGCACAAAAACAACTTTATTTCAGTATTCAGCGCAGTACACTTTTATTTCATCGAAATACACCTGTTCCTTAAAGGGAATTTAAATGTAGGGTGGGCTTTTGAGAAACCGTCTACGCTTTAAATATAATTGATGCCCTCAGCTTGCAACATGTCCAGGTAAAATTTTAAACACAAATTTTATTTCAGCACAAAAACAATTTTATTTCAGCACAAAAACAATTTTTTCAGCACAAAAACAATTTTATTTCAGCACAAAAACAACTTTATTTCAGTATTCAGCGCAGTACAATTTTATTTCACCGAAATACACCTGTTCCTTAAAGGAAATTTAAATGTAGGGTGGGCTTTTGAGAAACCGTCTACGCTTTAAATGGAAAAGTAAAGTATACATTTCATATAAAAACTGGCTTTTGTATTCTTCGCAACCTTTTACACGATTTCTCAGCATAGTTACTTTAAGTCCCTTTCTCTTGGAGTGAGCTTTCTTTAACTGGCTTTAAACATTTAAGTCCCATTCAGCATTCAGATTTCATGTCGAAAAGATCGGCTAATTCTAAACGTGATCTGTATTTGCCAATGCGTTTATATTCTACTGAATTCAGGTCGAACAGTTTTGCTGATTTTTCATTCCGAGCATCATAATTTTTTGTTTAATAATAATTATTACCTTAAAATTTATTAATTGTCAAAAGTTTACAAACTCGTCAAGATATACACATTTATTCTTATTACAAGTTGAGTTATAAATGCATGTATTTTTGTAAGCAATTAAAATGCTTTAATCTGTTATCATTAACAATTTTAAGAAAGGTAAGTACCATTGAACTTTACATTGATTCAATCCTTATATTTTCAGACCCCAAAATGGAGGCCGTTATTGTGTTGGTGATCGTATTCGATACAAGTCATGTCAAACTCAGGTAAGTTAAACATTTCTTTTTTCGAGATTAATATTGTTTTGAAATTTGAGCACGAATCCAGGTAGTAGCATTGATTAAAGTAGAAATTTTATTTTTGTGAAGGCTTTTGAAAACAATAAGTACCCGCTTTATGTTATCATTGAGCCATTATATGCCTTATTAAATGTCATTTTTTTCCCAAGTAAAAAACCGCAACTTGATTTTTTCTGTCATTGGATAAAGGTAAGGAAAATAAATTGTTCTTAAAATTTTTGAGATATTCAGTGAGATATAATTCTTCAATAGCAAAAATGAAGTAAATAATAAAGATTCATTTTGTTACAAACAAGCCGAAAAAAGGTTAAAAAAAAAAAAAAGAAAACGAAAAAGAAATGCAGATGTCAATAAGTGTAACGAACAGCGAAAGGAAAACATGCTTGCTGATACTGTTTATTAATTTATGCAAAGCACTTGTGTTTCACAAAGGAAACTTGAAATAACTGTAGCATGCTATTGACTACCTTATCCATTAATGGCATGGTAGGCTTTATCAAAAATGCGGCAGAAATTAACCCAAGGTTCGTTTTAGCAAGAGGGATTGAAAACTGATGATTGAGTACGTTCTATACGTACTCAATTGGATTTAGTCTTAAGGACATTGCTGAAAGAAACAAACTTTCAGCGCATGCGCTGTAGCCTTCGGAGAATTTCCTGTGTTCACGATTTCTTGTGCTGTGCTGAAAACAAACCTTAGCAGATAACTTCATGAAGTAATTTAACGATGATATCTATAACAACCTTTCAATGTACTGTGTTATTAATTATCTCCAAAACCAATGAGTGCAGCGACTGAAATAAAAACGAGCGGATACTCTCACTTAAAGACTCCCAGCGAACGGGCAGCTGCATAGGCAATTTTGTGGTTTTCCCCGAGTGTAACGTGTGTAGGAGGCAGTTTCCCTTAGAAAGTCCTCCACGAAGGCATCCCTCATCTTAGGCAGATAGCCCTGGAATACTTTGCCAGAATCATATAAATGAAACCAAACCTCACTGAATCACATTGAAAAGCGTGTACAAATTGTACGGGATACCGCCTGTCTTTGTTATTGGCCTTCTCCATATTCTCGGAACGCTGAGAAAAATGGAACATCACAAAATGTCTTTTCCCATTCTATGTTTGAAGAGATATTCTGTAGTACCAATTGATATCTTGTTTTGCAAAAAGTTTCTGTAAACCTGATTCGTGAGTTATATAGTCTTGCGTCATACACTGCTCGACATTGAAAATGCAACACCAAGAAGGAGTGGTCAGAAATTTATGCAAATTTTAGAGTAGACGCACGTCACTGAGTTATGCGAATGATGTAACGCACGTGAGTTATGCGAATGATGACGCACGTGAAGTAAGATATAAGGGAAGGAACGCGCAGAATGGGCAATATTTGCGTCGTAGAATTATCGAAGAAAGTTGGTTTTTGTCCCGGAGGATACGCGTAGTAGGATGTGCCAGGCCGCCGTCAACGAAGGCACTTCCAGTAGATAGATGATTTACGAGGGCTATGGTGATCGGACTTAGAAGGGCGGGTTGGTCTTTACGTGAAATCGCAGCTGATACCCACATGGAGGCGAGCACGGTGCATCGGCTATGGCGCACAGGTTGGAACAAGGAAATGTGGGAAGAAGGAGGGGTGCAGGTGCAGCCAGAGTGACGTCATCACGCGTGGATCGACGCATCCGCCGACAAGCTGTGGCGGTCCCGCAAGTCACTTGTACCGCGATTCTGCAGCATGTGCAAGATACCCTGGATGTTCCCGTGTCGACCAGAATCATTTCCGTCGATTGGTTGAACGTGGCCTGCACTCACGGCATCTGTTAAGAAGACTGCCATTGACCCCACAACATAGACGCCAACGTTTAAAATGGTACCGGACTGGAGCGATGTGGATGACAGAATGGCGAAACATCGTGTTCTCAGATGAGTCACGCTTCTGTTTATCCAGTGACAGTCGTCGCGTACGTGTGTGGCATCGACGTGGAGACAGATCTAATCCGGCAGTAACCGTGGAACGCCCCACCGCACGACAACGTGGCATAATGGTTTGGGGCGCTATTGCCTACGATTCCAGGTCTCCTCTAGTTCGTATTCAGAGCACTATGACGGCCCAACGATATTTGGATAATGTACTGCGGCTGGTGGCAATCCCCTACCTTCAGGGCCTGTCTAATGCATTTTTTTAGTAGGATAACGCCCGACCACACAGTGCTCGCATCTGCCAACATGCTCTGCAATGTATACAGATGCTTCCCTGGCCACCGTGCTCTCCTGACCTGTCACCAATCGAACATGTGTGGGATGTGATTGGACGCCGTTTGCAGAGAGATGGTGCACACGTCCCCCGTCATCTATCTATCTATCTATCCTACTGAGCCGACGCCTTTCTCGCTCTGTATTCTGACTATCATTTTGAAATAAAGATCACTTATTGCTGGTTGCTGTCCCTGTCTTTTTTCCAAATTTCATCACTTTCTGACCACTCCTTCTTGGTGTTGCATTTTCAATGTCGAGCAGTGTATAAACGTCATTAGTCTCACAGAAACAGAAATCCACACAGCTGATGGAACTATAAAAAACATTAAAATAATCTTCAAACTGCGATTTTAATTCACCGGTTTTGAATAGCCCTGTAGCTGTCATGCATTTATCGTCGATAGGCGGTATTTTAAGTCTATGGATTTACAAAATATATAAATAATATTCAGAGTTCAAATGCAGATATTATTTTTCCTTTTTCGGTTAGCTTCCTCTATTTTGTATTTACTTTAGTGAAATTGTATAAAATCGCATTTCATTCATTTCTAATATGTAAAATATAAGTACGCATAAAATATTTTACACACCTATCTGCGGATCGCGAAGTATTACGCATATCTCTAACATTCTGCGAATAACATTTGCATGTCTATCGAAAAACATTTTGCTAAGACATTAAAAGGCGTTTTCTGTACGGTGAAAAGGTAAATTACTATGCTTATTTATTCACTCAGTTTTTTAAAATAATTTTTGACATAAAATATCGGTAACCGTTAAAGGAGAGATCAGAGAGAAACAGAGATAAAATATATAATAAAGCTTGAAACAGCTGAACTAATCCTGATATTAGTCATAAAAATGGCTGAATGATAGATGTTGAGTACTCTGGCAAGTATTGAAAATGTTGCATACATTCTGATGTCTTCAGTTTTCTGGTAAGAGATTATGTTTTCTGTAGTAAACTAAAAACCCGTTATGGAATTATTAATCTCCCTTCTTTATTTAATTTGCTTTACTGTTCCTGCACTCTGTTTATCTTTCGCAAACTCTAATAATGTGGCAACATTTTTTTTTTTTTTTTAATTTTCGTTTCAGGACTGTCCTATAGGCTCTAAAGATTTTCGCGGAGAACAGTGCTCTGCTTTCAATGGGAAAACTTTCGGCTTCCAAGGAATTAATGAAAGTGTGATATGGGTTCCACATTACAGCCTAAGTAAGAATTTTTACAGGCTTATTACTTTCATCAATTTATGCGACTTTCGGTAGTTTCCTATTCCTTAGTTTCATTAGCATAATTTTGCCTAGATTCGTTAGTTTATGTCATTTGGAAAGTAATCTCAATTTTAAATTTCTGTGAGGTGCAGATTTTGTCCGGGAATCTTTTGAAAGCGAGCAATTTGTAGGGCCAGCAGACATGAGGGCAATTCTATCCGAGAAGTGGCAAATGCTTTTGGGTTATTTGATAATAAATATAGTAGGTTCAAAACAAGAATGTGCTAGTTCCCGGCAAACATCAGCAGCATATTAAAGCAACGAGACACCATATATAATGCAAAAGATACTGCTGGCGCCTAAAAAGAATTAGAAGCTCCCAAAAAAAGAGAAACATTGAGCAAATAGCCTAGTTCATTTCTGATACCGCTTAAGTTATCAGTTACAGAATTACACCACGTATATAACGTTTCAAGGGGTTTTGCTGTCATCGACAGTAAAGATACCACTTTCACTATTACAGCACGAAACCAGTTTCGCTATTAAAACACCTCTCATTAGCTAAAGCAAATTTTCATCAGATTCTGGATGATTGTTGTCATCCATAAACCTATGATTTAAAAAGGTCTATTGGAACATTGAAAGGTCCAATAAGTCCAATGAATACGCACATTGTTTCACTCGTTCAACACCTTCCCTTTAGCGAGTTTCAAATAATTCAGCTGTCTTGATCCACCGTACCACTGAAAAGATGAGCATGACCGGGAAAATATCGATGCAATACCGCTGAAATATAATAATATCTACATCAAAAATTGTGAAGTGGTGTTCTACCATGCAGCATAATGCCCCCCCCACATACAATGATATCTCGGTCATAATGATCAGCTTACAGATATAAAGCATACATAACAAAAATAAAACATGCATTGTTATCTGAGAAGACTACACACAATATTTATAATCATTTCGGAGGAAAAGAACATTTTCCGTGATTTCTTGAACTACATGACGAAATCTGTATCGTTTTGCATTATAAATAATATTTATTAACATTACTTTCAGCCCCAGTTGTCTTTAATACTGACATAATTTTCCAAATAAGTTTAATTTCTTTATGTCGTATAAACAATTATATATATTACAAGGAACCTTTTTTAAGTGTACAGAAGGTAAACAGAATTATTAAACTGAATAAATTTAATACGAGCATAATACCGCAAGATATAATACAGTCATGTAAAGAAAATAAGAGGAACAGATGGCGAAACGGCCACGGTGAAATGGCGACGGCTATAGAGTTTTGTGTTATAGAGTTTGTGTTATAGAGAGAAAGTTATAGAGTTTTGTGTTCTTTCGTAGCATAAACTAAGTCCAAATTCCGTACAGACATAGAGTGAATTATTGAAGAACTACAACGTCTTTAAAAAGTTTTAAAACAAATCTTTTTATTAAATAAGAGCTTAAAAATAGAATGCACGTCTCGTGCTTACAGTTCAGCCGCCTGTTATGGAGATGAAACTTCCAGGAGGTGTAACAGTGAGATTTCAAATTTAAAACTAAATCTAGTAGCTAAGGGCTACACAATAGATTTAACGTAAAGTTGGCTGATATTTCTTACAGGCTTAGCAATTTAAATGCCACAGCAGTATCGCAAGCCGAATAATACAATCTTATCTGAGCTAGCAGAAACCTAGGAACGTGGTCTCGAGAGGCAGAAACATGCTCATCCTAATAATCCGGAACATAAATACTCTGAACGTTATTTGCATTCTGGTAGAGAAACGGAAAGGAGAAGAGTCAGAAAAGATGAATAGTAATAACCGGTTAGAATAACATAATGGAACTTTACAGAATAACAGCACTAGAAGAACTACTACTAAAATTAGCACATTTTATATGCGTGTCTTCCTAATAAGAGGAACAGTCAGAAAATTCACTGAAAGAAAAAAGTCATATGAGGAATTCTTATACCGCTAAAGAAGCTACAAACGCTCCTTTGGTTGCGGGTGCCATTTTAAGAGCCGAAACTTGACTAGTTGAAATTTAGCGTATTTCCTCGGTTTACTTGAAATACATCCTCGGTTTGATTTCAGTGTAGCTATAGATCTGATCAAAATATTTTTGTATTATCCTGTCTGTATTCTTGAAAGTATTGTTCTACTACTCGAGCTTAATCTGGTAAAGAGATGTCATTTTGTGATATGACTGTTTCTCCTATTGGACTTGTGTGAAACTATTCTCAAAGTTAAGGATACTTTCCAATAATTTTAATTATTTTCTAAAGGTTTTAATTGTGAATACATGGAATTATGGTCCATCTGAAGTAATACTACCACAAACATATCTGTAACATATACATCGTAATCTCTTTTTGGAGTAACTCTGCTTTGATGCTGCCTGATTCTTTCCCGATCGTTTCCATATCGAATGCCCATGGTTAATGATTTGCAGTCAGTATCTGAATTCAGAATTATGAACTTCCATGAGTTTTCAGTTTATTTCATGTGTGGGCCCATTCAGTCGTTCTTTCATACGACGTGGAAGGAAGGATATATAAAATTAGGTTAGGTTCACTGAGTATGCAAAGTTCTCTAGGACTATCTGCATAAGAGGAGGGATGCATGAGTGGAGGACTTTCTAAGGGAAACTGGCTTGTATTCACATTACACATAGAGAAAACGAATTATGCAGCCACCTAGTTCCTTCCAGTATTCAGTAGTCTTAACAGCTCGGCTACTAATGGGGCTAAGGATATATATTTTTTACGGTGAAACACCGAAATCTGGAGAATGTCGACTTTCACCGGTGAATGTCAACATTCACATAGTCTCTTGGTGTATGTCCGAAATATTTAAAAAACTCTTATTTCTGACTTACACCGGTCAATGTCGACATTCACCATGTACTAATGGTGAATGTTGAACATATAACAATATTATATTTTCTTCTCCGTAATTCAGTTGCGAATAAACGCACTTGAGACTTGAAATAAGAACTTAAGAACATGAGAACCTAAAACACACAATACATTCAAAATGAGAAAGGAAAATAATAGAAGTTAAAAACTTACTTAATTATACAGTACGTTCTAAATGAGAAAATAAAATAACAGTAATAAAAAACTTACTAAATTATGTCATTCAAATCTTATTTATTAACTATTATGGCACTTTATGACCTCTCTTTTCGACTTTCACCAGAGCATATCTGTAATTGTCAACATACACCGGTGAGGGTCTGAATATAGAAGAATGTAGTGAAATATTCGGTCTTTCACCGACGTATTTGGTGAATGTTGATATTCTCCGGTGAAAGTCGACATTCTCCAATTTCGGTCTTTCACGGTAACATATGTTATATATCAAAATGATCATTTAGAGTAGAAACAGCCTTTTCTAGACTTACACAGTCAGTAAATAACGATGATATCTGTATTTACTGTATCAGCTAGGAGAGAGAATTCCAGTCCAGTTAGAGTAGACGTCCCGCTATATCTAAAAGTAATCTTATATGAAATACACAAGGGTCTCTACTCTAGATCTTGCTCGAATGAACGTTCAAAAAAAGGAATCCGTGTTTAGAACCCAATATTAGAATTTATGAGCATCAGAAAATTTATATTCAGGGATTATGCAACTTCTAAAAGATTTTGTTTGTTTCAAGTACGATTGATAGCAAAGCATTGCAGTTCTTCTGCCAAATGATATAGCAAAGCCTGGGGTTCTTTCTTATGAAATGTTTACCTTGAATTAGTTATCAGTATTTAGAAAATGAAATAATGACCCAATTTAAAGTAACTGGTTTTAAAGTTTTACTTTTTTATAAAAAACCGATGAAACAAAAACTAATGTTTTTATGATATATTTATGTAATTGTTCATTTATTGCTTACATGAAGGCAGATAGCCATCGAGTGTTTTGCGTTAATCAAAATAAACCAATCCAAACTGTTTGTATGGACTAATCTGGCAAAGGATCTGTGTTTAGAGGAGTTATATCATTTTTTAATGATTTCTTTTCTTTTAATGATTTTAATGATTTTTAATGATTTTTAAATGTGTATACTAAGTATGCAAATCCTTAAAATCAAATTGGAAAGGAAACACGCAACTGTTAAATTTAAAATTAGTTAGAGAAGCAAAGCCTAATTTTTAAGTGTAATTGTTTATTTCTGTGTAATTACGAAAAGTTTTAATATTTATATTTGCACTTAACATATGACATTCCTCCTACTCTTTTCATAATTTGAAAACTTTTAGTTTCGAACTGCTTTGTTATTTAAAGAACAGAGAGGGAAAAGCATAAACAATGGTTTCTGCTAGTAATATAATTTGTTTAAAATAATTAACTGATGCATTGTTCTCTTATTTATCTATATGTAATACACTAATGTTTATGAAATATGTAATACCATGAAGGAAATGTCAGAAATGAATGAAAGTTATTCCACATATTTACTGATAGTAGTTCAAATAAATGACCAAATTTACAAGACAAAAAACAAACGAACGTCGGAAATCAGTACTTGTATATGTGCGATGAGCCTCTGTACACGTCGTGGCATTGAATCATAAAAGTTCTGAATGTAATCCTGGGGAATGGCGTTCTTCGACTTGACTCTAAACTTCAATCTTAGTGTGTGCCCATCAGCTTCACGAGTGAGTCGTCGACTAATTAAATCCCAGACATACTTAATAGGCGACATATCCGGGGAATAAGCAGGCCATGGAAGAAGGGAAACCTGTTGTGCCATAAAGAAGGCTTGTGTAGTCTGAGAAACATGTGTGCGAGAATTATTCTGCTGAAATACAGCGCCCGGAATGCGTCGAAAAATGGGGAGGACCTCTGGCTTCACAACTTCTCGTATGTAGCGATCATTGTTGAGGTTTCCCGCAATCTGCAATAGATGGGATCGGCGAGTATATCAATAGCTCCTTACACAATGATGCCAGTCGTTTGTGCGGTATGATGCTGCATAACACACTGTGGGAACAGAAGCTCCCCTCTGTAACGTCTGACGCTTACTCTTCGATCATTGTACTCCAGATTGTAGCGAAATTCATTGGAGAAAATAATTGTTGCCACAGAGCACGCACTGTGTTGCTTTCCCAAGTCGGAGGCGTCTGTGATTTAGCGACAAGGGAATCCTGCGTAGAGAAACGCTTGCACGTAGTTCATGCTGCAGCAAACGGCGACGAACCGTGAAGCTAAACAACACAACACCTGTAACCGTACTCCAACGAGAGAACGCTGTATGATCCGTCACAGCCATGTGGATGAGGTGTCTGTCGCTCCGTGATGTTGTGTTATTGCGTGCCCCACTGTCAGGATTTCGCCTTGTTTGGTTCTCTTCTGTCCATTTCTTCCAAACGCGCATGATTGTTGTGGAATTACGCTGCGTGCGGGCTGCGATTGGTTGATAACGAATGTCCACCCTCCCGCATACTGATGATGCAGCCTCGTTCGAATTCCGTTAGTTGTTGATATGGTACCCTCCGCTGTTGGCAAAACATATTGACCACTAATTAAACGTTAACCGCAGTCAGAGGACGATAAACAGATTTCAAGCAACTTTACAGCCCTTTATATACATGAAACAAGTGGCCGGTTCTCGTCCCATGCATGCGCAATCACTTCGTCATTCTAATCATTTGCATGTCTTTCAACATTTTGCATAATTCCTTCATGGTGTTTCAATTTTTACAAACATTAGCGTGTATATGATATTCGCATTTAAGTTGTTAAGTTTACTATGATTGACATACAAATCTCTAAGATGCAATTTAGACTCAGTAAATATAGTAGCATAGCCATAGAGTATATTTTGTTTAATTTTACAGCCAATATCAAGGATAGATGCAAATTATATTGCCTAGCTAATGCTACTGCAGCGTATTTCCTTCTAAAAGAGAAAGTAATTGATGGAACCACTTGTGGAGCAGACACTTTTGATATATGCATCAATGGAAAATGTATGGTAAGAAACTTAGTGAAGTGAGTTTAGAAATTTAGTAACTGAGTTTTCGAATTTCCTGTAGTATTTATAAATTTGAAAAGTTCATTTTGAAAATGAAGTTATTACATATTTAATTATATTCACGAATTTACATTTTGATCTTGCATTTATGTGAACTTTGGTTGATTCTTTAATCGATTAAGGCAAAGTACGCGAAAGCTATTTGCCTTAGGAGAAGAATGCCTTCATGGAGGATTTTCTTCGTAGGGAATCTCGTTGGCATTCACGATAAACGTAGAAAAAGCTACGAAAAAGCTCGTGTAGCGAGTTCGTTCGCTGGTATTCGAACATAGTGTTCGAAATACCAGTGTTTAGCAATCTTACGTGCTTGGCCAATGGAGGGCCATTTTCCATTCAACCTAAGAAATATTTTAAACATATTATTTCTGATTTTCAAGTTACTCTGCATGAAGAATGTCTATTGAAACAACCATTCCTTTTGGCGCATTTCCTTTATTCTGTCCGCCGGTTTTGTGAAATTATATTTATCATTACCAAAATTATTTTGAAATTTGACACCACTGTCAGGGTATTTTTTCATTCGACTATTCATGGAATAACTTTTCGTTCATAATAGTTTGTCTTTGTGCTAGGTCGAAATCTGACCAGCTTTATCAGTTGGATAATTCTTTAGCGAAGGCGTCAGAGTGTTGCAATGAATGGAGAATTGTGCAAAGAATTGTTGACTGTAGCCTTTGCCTAACCCTTTTTTATGATAGGCTGGCTTATAATGGCAAAATACACCAGTATTATTAGCCAATACAGAATGATGCCGGTTATCGTTTACCTACAAGTGGGGAAAACCACCGAAATCCATCAACAACCCGTCCGGACAACTAGCCCGTCCGCCGGAATTCGAAGCTACGTCAAATTGCGAATTCTCAACGAGTTTAACCATTCGCCCCTCGGTGGATCCTAAATTTTTTATCTTCGAGACTCAGTTTCATTGTACCCCGTGTCCACAGAAATCCTTAACCGGCCTTTATTTTCGCAACCGTTGCATGTAGATATCATGCTATTAATATTATAAAATCTAACTTTTTATATTTTCTTCCGTTTGTATACTTATAGCTAGGAAAATTTTTTAGTCGTTTTAAAAAATGAAACACAAAAATTTTGATTCCCGAACGACAAGAATTGATCGAGATATTTAATTTCAAATTTAGCAGTTTTTGACGCTCAATTTGCATTGATTTACTAAATAAATTAGAAAAATGCGATGTTGATTTTTTATCTCTTAAATCCTATTCCGTGATACATTTTTTTTTGATTTAATAATATCTTTTATTAATAATTTTACCCGAAGAATTTTCACACAAATAATTTATAAGTTTTCAAGCCAAAAAATGCTTTAATAATATTCTTATGAAATGTTATTGCTTTAGAATCTCATTGAAGTACAAATATTTTCATCATTAATTAATGTAAATACTAGCATGAGTTCGCTGAGCGCTCATACTAAAGTCTGTCAGTATTTTCTTGAAGACGAATTTTAAGATTCTGTGAATAATATCTTCATTTTGAAAAATTATATTGATCAATATTTTTCACTATAATTTTGCATTGGAATACTCGAACTTCAAAATCCTTTTTCTAAAAGATATTTTATTTTTGGTTGCATCCAAATGCAAACATTTTCTGTTCATTTTGTGTATGTACCCTAAATATGATTCTCGATTATAATATCAAATATCTCGGTCAGTTTCCGGATTATGGGGCGCAAGCGTTTATAACAAATACAAAAATTTTCTAGATATAATTCTAAGGGCCAGAAGAACGTGTGACAAGTTAGATTTCCGTATCTTATATATATTTTTTTAAACTTTAAAAGTAGGAAAACGTGAATCTTTGCGATATTTAAAACATTTTTGTAACTTGAAGTACATGTCTAGATCAAAAGTTGCAAAAATAAAAGCCGAGTAAAGACCTGTAGAAAAGTTGTATAATTAATGGATCATTTAGTCTAGTTCCTCATGCTAGCTGAGAAGAATAATCAGGCATAAATAACACGTCTTGAATATTATAGAACAGGTTTTTTACCGATATTTTCTACGAAATTTGAGGGAAATGCTTTTGGAGTCAAAATACTTAGTTTTATTTATTATGGTTGGCGAATTGACTAATTACGGCAATGCATGCGAAGGGAACCTGCAGTGAGAGAGATGCTTTCGTAAAAAACAGTTTAAGGAAACTGAGCCTTGTTCACTTTACATATAGGGAAAACCGCAAAAAACTTCATACAACTATGCCATTTACCGTGAACCAAACTCAAGACGAACTATCAGTGTCCAGTAGTGTTGTCCATTAATATACCGATGAATTTTATTTGAGAAAAGGAACAAAACTGAAAATTCTTTGTCGCAGATTCCTTGTAAGGCATGCGGAAAAATAAAATGCTGGTATTTCACTTTAAATATCCGAACAATAGGTCGCTGCAATTTATAACATTTTAAGTGAGGAAACCTTTCCTGGTCTTTCATTTTAGTAGTCATATGAAATAACATTGTTTAATGCAAGTGGACACACGGGCTCGAATTAAACAATTCCGTTTTACAAGATAAACTAACAGCGCTATATGCTGGATCTGCTAAGCACTCGACCATGCGCCAAATGCCACGATTTAGAGTCGGCCAGATCATATAATACGGGCACATGTAGCAGACATCTATTGGTACATACCAAGCACCACCTAATGTTACAAATTCCTTCTCATAACCGTCCTGTTCTATGTTGGATTCCGCCCACCAGCGGCCGACAGGTAAAGTCGCTAAACACTGATAGTTCGGACCGAGGTTCGAATCCCGCAAAAGGGCTGGATGCATGGGTGTTTTCATGGTTTTCCCTATGTGTAACGTGTACGAGCCAGTTTCCCTTAGAAAAGTCCTCCACGAAGGCATTCCACCCCTTAGGCAGATAGCCCTCGAGGCTTTGCCGTAATTAAATAACCTAACCTAACCTAACCTATGTTGGGTTCCAAGCAGGCAGCAATGTCCAAGATGAAGTGATCTCTCTCTCTCTCTCTACCCCACATTATATCTTAAGCGGACTATCCAGGAGCATATTCTCAAAAACTGGCAGGAGCCTACGCAGTGTTCCTTTTCTTTCCAAAGGTGGCAGAGGAACTACGAAGCTGCTCCTCTTCACTCGAACAATCCATTTTGCGGATACGGTCCGTTCCTTGCATATTTGCACCACTCCCGTTGCAATGACACAGATCTATATGTATGCACTAGGGAGGAAACAGCAGCCTACTACATACTTGATTGCTCACAAGCGTCAGAATACCATTTTAAAAAACCAGCTTTCATAAAATGGTCAGCATGAGCTGCTAATATTAGTAGTAATAGATCTGCACAAAATAAGATTGGCTTTGCCATTTCATACTGTGTAACTTCCCACTCAGCCATTGCAGCCGTATGCAGCCTGCTCCAAGCACCTGTTAATGTAAGTTTCTCACAACAATAGGAGTACATTGGTATATGTCCCCTCTATATTCGCGCTGTTACCCGGATTCAGCTATATATATAATTTTGTACTTATATGTATTTTCAGTTAGACTACTTGTTTATCAATTGCTTAGTGTTTAGATCATACCTTCGTACAAAACTTACGCACTAACTTGAGCATCTGCAATTTAATTATATTCATATCACGCTGTTAATATTTTGTCTTTCCCTTGATTGTTCAAGGTGATACGTATGCTTAAGCCTTGTGAAAATTTTTGTATGCTGTCATTATTAACCTTTTTTCATTTAATAAACCTTCAGTTTAACAGACCTCATGTCACTGTCATAGTCCTAACATCTTCCAACGAATTGGCGTCTAAATACGATATGGCTAACGCTCCGGATGGTGGCCAACTCAAACAACATCCAACATTCATGAAAGCAGTGATGTCATGTTCATGTAGCAAACAAAAAATTTGTAGTGTTCTTGGTGAATTTTGTTTTCTTCCTCTTCAACAGCTACTTTATTTCAAGCTGCAAGCATTTTGTAACTCAATCAGTATCGCAGCATATTTCGTTCAACTACAGCATTTTTTATAAATTTTTCTTCTAGTTGCTGCTCCAACTTATCGGTAGCAAATATAGTTTATTAGCTAAGAGATTTGCTGAGGTAGTTTGTTTTAAACAAAAAGATGTAATTTACGTTAAGTGTTGTAAGGCCGCCCTAGACAATATCGTGAGCGATTGACTAGTCTCTGAGATTAATGTCGAACCTCTGGTAAAGCCTGAAAGCTCGTTACTATACAGTGTTTTAGCAGCGTAATAGCTCTTCAAAGAAATTCTTTTTGTAGAGGACTAGAAGTAAAAGGTCCTTAGATTCTATCCTTCAGGAGTAACTCAACAAGAACTGGGATACAGATATTCTAGGGATATAGACCTCGTATGCTTTGCGGTTAGTTTAATAGTCCAATCGAATACTTTCGTAATTCATGGGTAAATATCACAAAAATCTGTGTGAAGTTACGGTATCACAAATTTATCTCTTGCAAAATGCAGCACTATGTTTCTTGGGTACAAATGTTTTAACACTCGGATTGTGTTATAATATTATGCTATTTCTTATGTATTTATTTAATATGTTTTCTAATATTCGTTTAACGTTTCTATTGTTAGCCAGCTGGCTGTGATCATGTATTGTACTCCGAGGCAAGGCCTGACTCCTGTGGGGTATGTGGAGGAAATGACACTACTTGCAGGATCATTCGAGGAGAATTCACAAAAATAAAATACGGTAGGCAATATGATTTGATACGTTCGATGTTAAAAAAAGAAAAGAACAGAAAGAGGGTCTTAAAATACGTCAATATGTATATATTACAGAAGCGATGCCCAACCTTGTGCTCGCGAGCACAAGGTTGGCGAGCACACTTATGCTTGCGAGCACAAGTGTGCTCGCCAATCGTTTTGCATGTGCTCGCCAGTCCGATTAGGTAGTATAAACAATACATATTTTAAAATTAACCATTCATTTGTATTTCTTAGTTGTTAAAATATGGTAAGCATTTATAGTCATAAGAGATATCTTTCAAGACGTTATAAAATAACTGATTGCTGACTGATGCTAGCGAACATGGAATCTTATTGCTTCATTCCGATGTTAGATGGCTCAGCAGGGGAAAAGTACTTCAACGATTTGTAGAACTTCTTTAGCCAATAAAGCAGTTTTTGGAATCCCGAAACGAAAGTTATAAAGAATTGGACGATAATAATTGGTTATCCGATCTGTATTTTTTCACGCATATAACAGCTAAACTGAACAAACTGAACGAAGACCTCCAAGAAAAACCCTTTTTCAATTGACTGGGACTGTAACTGCTTTTCAGATAAAGTTAAATTTGTGGATAAATTAGACGGAAGGAAAAAATTTCGTCTATTTTCAGAATTTATCAAGCCATATTAATAACCACAAGGCAATTGAAACAGAGAAATACTCGGAAAACCTAACTGCACTGAAACATAATTTTGAACTCCGCTTCTCCGATTTCCGTAAAGTTCAGCCAATATTATTATTCATCTCAAGCCCATTTTCCGAAATTAATATGTCAGATGTATCATATAAGACTGGAAATATGTTTAACAAAAATATTGATGTTTCGGAAATATGCTCGCGATAGGCCAAAATGTGCTTGCCAGAGGCCAAAGGTTGGGCACCACTGTATTACAGTATGAATTTTTTTAAAACAGTTTTTAGCTGATATTTTTAATTAGAAAAGTTTACTAGTTTTGATTTTATTTTTTCATGTCTTTGTGAATTAGGTTCTATTTTTTTTAATTTTATGTCTATATATATATATGCAATGCGAAGTCAGGGCCGGCGCCATAACGTGCGTAGTCGTACCTGGCTGCAGAATTAAGGGCGGCAAAATTTTTAGAATTTAGGAAAGAATCGGACGGCAGAATTTCGGAATCGCGAAAGTTGCACCGGGAGGCAAAAAGTGTAGGCCCAGCCCTAAGCAAAATAAAATTTAGGAAAATAAATAAATAAATAATAATAATAATAATAATAAAGCAAATCTGAAATGTTTCAGATTTTAAATTACGTCCGAAGGGGCGTTTTTTAACATTTTGTGTGTTACATTTATTTATTAACTATCTATCACGTTCTTCGCACTTAAGCCATAAAATTCAATTCAACAGCAATAATTAAAAATAGTTTTAAAATTAGAATATCTTTAGAATTTCTAACACAGAGAGTCGCGCGGTGGAGGAAGTGTTTTTTCTGTACAACGTTGCCATTGCCCGCTTTTAAATCGTTGAGTTTGTTACTCAAAAATTCGTTAAAGTTTTACAAAATATGTAATCGATAATAAAATAAATTCCATATTTCAAATTTGGGCATTCAAATGCCCCTATTCGCAGTAGAATTATGTCATTCAAAATTGGATGACTCTAGGTAGCGTTGTTTTATGGCAATGCAAAAAACATATATACATTTATGCAGATTCTTCATTATTTAATTTCTTCAAATATAGTACAGGGCGATAGTATTTGGTGGCAACAATCTGAAAAGGAATACAGCCTTTTAAAGTTTTCAACGTAAACGAAATTAATAGTTCTTCAGGGCAAATTACCCCTTTAGACTAACAAATTCCAAATTTCAAATTTGGGCTTCCAGATGCCCATATTCGGGTGGAAACGTATATTATTCAAAATTGGTTTGCTCTAAGTACTGTTGTTTTGTCACAATGCGATAAACATACATACATTTGTGCAGATTCCTTAATATTTAATTTCAGTCCTTCAGGGCAACTTGCTCCTTTGGACTAATAAAAAATACGTTTAAATTTATCCCATATTCAATTCGGAATAAACTGCATGGAAAAACCAAGATACAGAAGCATGGTGGCAAACTGAAAGAAGTGAGTGGGTGTAAAATGTTCCAAAAATGAAAATCAAATTTTCGTCTATTTCTGCATAAAACAGAGGTTTAGTGCAGTGAAAGAGGTAAATAAAAAAGCCTGAGCTGATAAAGACACAAATTAAAATTTAAACTTTAAAAATAATATTACAAACACGGTCAAAGTAATCCGTGTCCTTATCAATATTAGCTCTTGCAAACCGAAGTAAGAAGTGCCGAAAATTCAAAATTACCGCATCAAGAACATAGATAGTTGTAACACATGTAAATTTCCTTTTCATTTTTGGTTTTGGTATGTTTTGCCCCCTTATTTCTTTCAGTTTGCCACTGTGCTTTTTACTTCCTTGTACGAAGTAAAAAGGAAGTATTGTAATCGCGAAAAGTTTCAGGCAGCATATTTCAACGAAAATATCCATTTTGAACCACTCTCGAAAACCATCTGAACGATGCTTTTGCGTGGGTATCTGTACGTACGGACAGAATAAAGGACTCTTTTGCTTCAAAAAGGACATCAAGTTGGATTTAAAAGGGATTCATGAAGAGAATCTTTTCTTGACGTTGTACGAACGTATGTACGTACGTGCGTACGTACGTACGTACTATGCTTCTGTATCTCGCAAACTCAAGAACGAGTAGCCATCAGAAACGTTTGAAATGTTGTGCATGGGACTTGCTATAACATGTAGCTGTGCACCTCCCTATTTTGGTTGCAATCGGCTGCACCAATCGTATATAAATATATTTATATATATATCCACTCTGTTACCCGCTCAGTGATCTTAGTTTCTTTACTCTTATATGTTTGTAAATTGTACATTTTTTTGCTTTAAAAATGATTGTATTATGTTGTTTTATTCTCCGGTTAAGGTTTTTATGCCTTTAGTAAATCTGTATGCAATATTTTTAGAATTATCAACAGTTTTAAAGTTGTCTAAGTGCCGTTAAGCCTTTTTTTATGGTGGCCATTGATGTTTACATTTGAAACAGGAGACTAGTGGATTTGTTGCCAATCTAGAGAAACTTAGCTTTGCAACAACAAAGATAACGCATTCATTTATTATTGCCAATTAAATCATGCTTAATTCTTTCTGGAATTTTTGGAGGAAATAAGTATTTGAGATTTACTTCGTAATTTTTAATATAGATATTTTGAGTTTATATGTATTTTTGCCTTCTCACGAACTGAGAACTGAATTAATTAAATGAGAAATACTCAATCGTCTATGAAAAACTGTTTCTTTTTGTTTTGTTTGCTTAATTTCTTTTATACATCATTCTAGCTTTATTATAGTATTTGAATAGAACATGTGGCAACGATTAGATAATTCTATTCTTTAAATGATATAAATTTTGTGCATTATGAGTTATAATATGAACGAAATATATAAGTTAACTGTTATATAATTGTTGGATTATGTAATATAATTATTGGATTATATAACAGTTGGATTATTGGACAGTATAATTATTGGATTACATAATTATTGGATTATATAACAGTTAACTTAGTTTCCGTTATATAATTATTATATAAGTTAACTGTTATATAATTATTAATACTGTTAAGTGAATCTAGCGCCAGGGTGTCGCTATGGTAAACAAATACTAGAGTGAATTTTAAAGAATGCATTTATTCTATTGTGGTTTATGCGCTGTCGGCGAAGTAGATTTAATTCAATACAATGAGTTTAAATGAAATGCAAAAAAAAATGCGTATAATTTAATATTTCGTACAAGGAAGTCATGTGGTGTACACATCAGATTTTTTTTCCCTAGTTTTGGCGTGTAGTTTATTCCAAATTATTGAATATAGGATGAATTTTAAACATTTTTAGTCTAAAGGGGGCTTTGTCCCTGAGGGACTATTGTTTTCGTTTAGGCATTTTGCGTTGAGATCTTTGAAAAGCTGTATCACTTATCAAACTGTTGCCACCAAATAGTATCCCCCTGTATTATATTTGAAGAATCTGCATAAATGCAGGTATGCTTCTTTGCATTGCGATAAAACAACGGTACCTAGAGCCATCAAATTTTGAATGACGCAATCCTACTTAGAATATGGTCATCTGGAAGGGGTGCCCATTACTGGCAGTCGATGCCCTCTTCTCCGTGATTCTAACCTGGGTCGTTTGGTACCGCAGTAGGCCCCATAACCGCTATACCGTCTGGGCGGCATGAAAATACATTTATAACACAGAAAGACACGTACCAAAGTCCTTTTAATCTACGCATGAATATTAGTAAAGTTCATAGTGCAGGGATGTCCAAAATCCGTTCTGTGATATCGAACAAAATATGAGTCTAATATGAAGCCTCAGCCAGACAGAACAGTTTACTGGACAGGAGGCAGTTGAGAAGTCCCTGTGGTAGTCAATCCCACCATTGCAGCAGAGCAGTTTTCAACTCCGGGATGGTTCTCGGAGGTAGATGGAGATGCAAATGCCCTCCCAAGAGTGTCCCAGACACGCTGTATAGGGCTGAGGTCAGAAGATCTGGCTGGAAAATTTATGTATCGGATAGCCTCATTTTTCAGGTAATCGTCGACCAGCTGAATCCTAGGTGGATGAGCGCTGTTGTCCAATAACAAGAGCCCAAGACAAACTGCACCCCTGAAACGTCGAACATAGAGCTCTAAGATCTCCTGTCTATACCTCACAGCAGTCATGGAGCCTTTGTCGAACACATGCAGAGGTGTGTGGCAGTTCAACATAATGCCTGCCCAAACCATTACATCTCCATCATCGTAATGATCCTTTTCCCTATTGAGGGACGTAAGGTATTGTGTTCTAGCCTCACTCCAGATACAGGTACGCCAAGAATCCTTGTCCAAATGAATCCGACTCAGCTGTAAAAAGCATGGTGCTCCACTGAAG